TTTTTTTTTTTTTTTTTTTGAGACAGTATCTTGCTCTGTTGCCCAGGCTGGAGTTCAGTAGCTCAATCATAGCTCACTGCAGCCTTGAGCTCCTGGGCTCAATCAATTCTCGTGCCTCAGCCTCCTGAGGAGCTCGGACTACAGGCATGTGCTCCCATGCTCAGCTACCTTTTGATTTTGTATAGAGACAGACTCCCACTATGTTGCCCAGGCTCTCCAACTCCTGGGTTTAAGCAATCCTTTCACTTTGGCCAACTGATGTGCTGCAAGCATGAGCCACCATGCCTGGCCTCTTTGATATATTTTTGAATGGCTAAGGCCATGTAGTATGTTTAATTTTACATCTTACTTTTTTCAAAAGAGCATTTCATGTTATTAAAAACCCTTTGAGAACTCTAGTTAATGAGTGTAAGATGAAGTGTTGGGGCAAGGGGAAGTGGATTGATGTGGGCAACTTTGAAATGCATCAAAAAAATAACATAGAGGAATAGAAGGATAGAGGCAGAATGAAACAAGAATAGTAACATGTAAATTGTAGAATTGGGAGGATGCTTGGTGTACAGGTGTTCGCTGTACAATTATTTCAACTTCTCTGAATGTTTAGAAATGTTCATAGGCTGAAATTCTTCATGGACAACCCAATGGCAGAGAACAATTCACTTAGTGCCCTTTCCCTAGTGTTGGCTACTGAAGGTGTTTCAAAAATATATATATATTGCTTTTTAAATAAATGATGAATACATATCTTTTGCATAAATCTTGTTTCACATCTATTTCCTTAGGATAGATCCTTAAAAACTCATCAGGGAGAGAGGCTGAGTGATTCAAGGAAAGGGAAGAGGTTATATTCTTTCATATCTTAAAAATTTTTAATCTTTTGAATGCAGTACTTGTACAAAAGATACATAACTTTAATTATTTAAATAATTGCTATCTGGAGGGTCTAAAATGATTCCATGTTTAATTGTACATCTTGGATGACTCCTGAGGTTGGATCATTTTGCAGGTGCATAGTCATGTTTTCTTCCTTGGGGACTGTGCTCCTAGTCTTTGCCTATTATTCCTTATTTTATTTCTCTTTTATCTGCAGGTACTCTTTACATGTTGAGGATCACGTATGGTTTTGTTTGATCTGGTGCAGAAGCTAACATTAGCTGATTACCTAATTGGGCGTAATTCCTCCTTCGGGGAGTCTGAGGGAAGGGGCTCAATGCTGGAAGTTTCCCGGTCCCGCGAAAGCATGTCTTTGACATCCCCATCTTTGGAGGATGGGACCAGCTGGGTCTTGGAGGTGGAAACGTAATCCAAGTCCTTCCCATTCACAGGGCTGCTGGCACCTTCCTTTCTTGCCAAGGAGCTGAAAGAAGGCATGGAAGCCCCAGGGTTCAGTCATGGGCAGTGAGGTATCGCAGATGCCAGGATGAGTGACCTTTCTCAGCACTCACTACACTGGGAGTCCCACCTCACTCAGCTCCCACCTTGTTCATATTCCTAGGTAAAAGCGCAAATAGTGTGATGCTAAGCCAGGCAGATGTGGAGGAAGAAGAGGGCATTTTTCTCCCTTTTATCAGAACAAAGAGCTCTCAGTGGTCTTGGCAGGAGACGCTTGGGAAAAATGGGTACAATCTCCAGGGACTGAAAGTGTATGGACCTGTGGGATGGGCCACAGGTTCTCAGGAACCACCATGGCTGCTGAGGTCTGAGTCATACAGGCTGCCCTGGGAAGGACTGGCAGAGCCCCATACAGGGTGGGTCTGTCTGTGGACCAATGGTAAGGCAGGATGGCTCTGCCCTGCTGTTCTTTTTTTTTTTTTTTGAGACAGAGTCTACCTCTGTTGCCCAGGCTGGAGTGCAGTGGCGTGATCTTGGCTCACTGCAAGCTCCACCTCCCAGGTTCACACCATTCTCCTGCCTCAGCCTCCTGAGTAGCTGGGACTACACGCGCCCGCCACCACGCCCAGCTAATTTTTTTGTATTTTTAGTAGAGATGGGGTTTCACCGTGTTAGCCAGGATGGGCTCGATCTCCTGACCTCGTGATCCGCCCATCTCGGCCTCCCAAAGCACCGGGATTACAGGCGTGAGCCACCGCGCCCGGCCTGCCCTGCTCTCCACACCCTGTTCTCCACACCAGCTCCCAGAAAAGTAGCTGTCCTCCCTGCTGAAGCAACAGTGCTTGGTGCCTTTCTCCAAGAAGAGGCAGATCTGAGGACCGAACTGGCAGGAGGATGCCCATGGCTCTTCCCAAAGGTCTGAGGATAGAAAATCTGTTTCTTCCTCTTTCATCCTCCTTGCAACAAGTGTGGCTCAGGGGACTGAGCCTCAACCAATCAACTACTGCACTGGTTATCCGGAAGCAGAACAGAGAGGGTTGGGGTGTGACTGCACTCATGAAGAGGCAGGAGGAGGCCAGGGACACTGGCATCCTCTGCTGCCTGACTCTTGTCCTGCGTGTAACAGTTTTCTACAATCAGCTCTGGCCCGTGGCCTGTGCTCACTCACTTATCCTCACAACAACCTCAACAACAACCTCAATGACTTGGATGCTATTATTATTTTTCCCATTTTGGAGATGCAGAAACAGGCACAGAGTGGTTCTCATGTCTCACATGGGGTGACCCCTTGGGTGTGAGAAGTGCAGAGCAGGGAGGGGAGCCCGGGCGTCAGCTCCAGAGCCTGTGCTCTTACCCACCACTACACAGCACCCCGGGAGAGTGGGCTCACTAAGTGAACCTAAATGCTCTTCCCACCTTGCACATACAAACGGATCTTGCCTGAAAGGTGAACTGGAGTTTTAGGTGACCTGAGTGCCAGTCGGCAGGAAGACCCTAGTGAAGTGAGGGGAGGCAGTACAACATAAAATACCAGAGGGCATGGGCTCTGGGGAGCTGGTCCAGCTTCTCGCTGCCATTCCACTAGTCATTGGTGGTGTGGCCTTGGGGAGTGACTTCCCCTCTCTAAGCCTCTGTTTCTTCATCAGTATAATGAAGACATTAACTCCCACCTCACCAGGTTGCTGTGAAGATGAGAGGTGATTCTTGTGGGGTTCCAAACCAACCCCAGCCCGGACCCCACAGACTTGCTAGTATTGGCAGCAGTGACGTCCATTG